TTATTAATAGACAGGTGATATTTTAAAATGCTTACCCTTTAGGCTACCTTAAATCAATTTTAGAATTCATTTAATGATAATTCTAGCATCACACGTTTAAACTCTCGCTGCAGCAATGCGAATCCATTCCTTTGCTCGATACATCAGCTCTTCGATATTCAGTTCATTTAGTGTTGTGGTTGTGTGAAAATCTTTTCTTCTCTTTCTTTTTCTTTTTTTTTTTTTAATTTTTCTTTTTTTATTTCTAATTTTTCTCTTTGTTTATTTTTCTATAGTAAATAATTCGTGTCGAGGTTCTGAATTAAGTAGAGACCATATAGAACTTTAGGTATCATAAAATAATCCTTATGGTGTATCCGACGGGCGACTAAAACATTTATTTGACTACGAGTTAGAAATGGTAAAAACCTGGGGGATTTTAAAGTGCTCACCGTTTAGGCTACAGGAAATCTTTTTTTTTTATGTTTTTCTTTTTCTTTTTAATTTTATTTTTGCTCTTTGTTTATTTTACTCTAGTAAATAATTAGTGTCGAGATTCTAAATGTTCACCATGATTGCTGTTTTCGCTCTTGTTATGAAAGTTCAGATTTGTTGTTGCTTTTACCCCAGGAGAATCGAGGGGGTTCTGTTTTCCCTCCTTATAGCTGATCTCTTTCTGTGCTGAAAATGTCTGGGTAACTGTTTTTTCCAAGCTTTGGAAGATATTTGGACGCTTGGTACATGTACATTTAGAGAATAATGGTGTGGCGCACTTAATCTCGAATACCTGACTTTTAAAAAAATTTCTAAGTAACTGCAAGTGGTGTATACCACTCAAGAAAGGAAATCCGGCGACGCACAAAACCGTGCGATTTGTAGCTCTAATTAACTATTATGCAGTGAATTTTTGCTACTGAAAAGTATTTTTGTTATATTGATCCTAACAGTACTATCTCCCCTTGAATTTGATAAGTTCTTCAAGTCATTAAGCCTGGTTATTGCTGTAAAGATCTACGCTTAAAAACAGTAAAGTTAAAAGAGTCCTACGGTTTCTTTATGTTCAACACTGTCATTTTCAAATTATTCCTGACCTCTTAATACCAAGGTAACTTTCCAGCTTAAAGAAATTTGCCGATAAATTTTGTGAGAAGTGAGTTTTAACTCTTGTTATGGCGAAATAATTATTTCTTCAGTTCCACGTAGGCCCATAGGTATTTTTTTTTATCATTGTTATTATTTTATTTTCCTTACGTTAAAAATAAGTTAAACTCAAAGTCTAACTCTTTGGTTGGATAAATTAAACTGGGAATGAGTCTAAACAATATTTAAAAACTATTGTGAAGTCCCTTACTAATCAAACATTTAGCTAATTAGTGACCTCAAACAGTTTATAGTACACTCAGAGTGTCGATAAAACATCTTTCGACATAGGAAAACTTATTTCCAGACTTCTCTACTCCACCCACATTTTGAGCAAGGCAAATCCTACAAGGTCAAATAACGAGGTTTTTTTCCTATCTTTTTTCCGGCCTATTCGGTAATTGCTAAAATATCAGCTCACCTGCGTCTGTCATGGCTGATTTATCTCACTGCAAAGAGCATAAGTTACCTCCACGAAAAATTTAATCCTCTCAAATTTTCCTCACTCCTAAGGTGCGGCTTTCTTGCTCAGTTAGTAGCGGCGCCCAGTGAGTATTTGGGAGGCATGGGTTCGAATCCCATCCAAGGCTGAATCTTTTTCAGTCAACTTTTCTCCAATTGGTAAAATCGCAACTCACCCGCTAGGATCATTATTTGATTTTAATCCGCAAGTTAAAATAAATTTGTTTAATTACAAATTCACATCGAGAAGTCGTTCAGATGAACCTTCGTTTTCGCCAATAAAATGGTAACAAATGTTTTGTCATACACACTTGAAAAACATTTAAAGTACAAGGAAGAGCATATAACTGTTTGACTTAACATGATGCCTGGATACTTGTTCTTGAACATATGTAGTGGAAAAATAACGGAGAATTTTCATATTCTTATGAAAAATAACTGATAATCCCTGTATGTTAGAAGACTTCAGGTGACAGCTCTTCTACAGGTCGTATCGAGTCACTCTGTTGATCGAGGAAATATCCTGGATTTGGTTAAAAATCTCACCTCTCGTGTATTTTTGTTGTGCATTATCTATCTGGCCAGGGGAAATTTAAAATTTTGCGATAATTTTCCGTGAAATGTTTGGGACACCCGATCCATTTCGAGAGCTATATTCTGTTCAGCACAAATGTGCCCCTTTAGAGCACCATTACTACTATGATTCTTGCCACTAGTTGTGTTCAGTCATACCAAACCCACTAGTTCCAACTTGTCCTCCTAGAGGAAGACACTGGCCACATACCGGTATTTTATAACAGTTTTGTCTGCAGATAGGTTTGTAGTTACCTTAAAGGTTCAGGTCATGAATTTCTGCGACAGCTTCATCGGTCTGTGTGGCACGCTGATATTTTATAGTCTATAGGGGTGGTGGTAGTTTATCTACTTTTCTATATATATGAACGTATAAATGTGTTACTCACAATACTATTAACTCGGTGTTGTAAGTGAAGATTCGAGATGGTAGCTCTTCTATTTGGTTGCCACCCAAGTAACTATACGAAAAAATATACACTGTATCTAAGTTCTATTGCGCGTTACTTAAAATCAGGTTCTTGATTCTATTCTGGGTTTTTAAAACTAAGCAAATAAAAAAATAAGATTTAAGAGACCACAATATAATTTCATTATCCAAGTTAAATAATGCAGACTTATTGCTTATATATGCACCTTTAGTTTTGTATCAAAAAGTGTCTCTTTTTGATGAGAAAGCAAAAGATATATGCAGTTGAAATTTGATTATTTTCTCTATACTAAAATTAATATTTCTTTTCCATTTTTCGGTATGCAACTCCTATTAGAATAAGGAACCGGGAATTGGTACATATACCAGCTGGGATATAGGATTTGGATCCTGCCATCATGAATTCTAAACTGGCCCCTCTGCTACGCATGGACTTGAGGGAAATTAAAATTTGAAACCAAGATTTAGTAAGTACGCGAGCTGAGGTATTGGATTTGAATCCTAACATGTTTTGATAAAAGTCATTAATCAGTGTCGCGTCGTCATTGGTTTCTGTGCCACGCAGATATCATTGAAAGGCCATGGAGTGTCCTAAGGGAGTCAATATGAATTGGGTCAAGGGGCTGAGGTTCATTTACTTTTGCACGCAGGGGAAAAGAGCGAATCCAGGAACTAGGGAAAAGAGTTACCACCTGGTGTGGAAGGAGAGTAGTACGCCCAAACAGCATTAAAACGTTTTTTGAAGTCCTTTAATGCAGCTGAAGCTGCATGGAGCAGGAGCTTAGAGAACTATGATTCTTTGAGAATTTTTAAAGGATCATCCTTCCGAATGGCTGAGTTTCTCTATGCAAAAAGTGTAATCTGATTATTTTTTTATATTGCTTGCGTAAAGGGAAAAAACCCATGAAAGGTGTTCCTCTGATTTGTTTTGAAGCTTAAAGTGATTAGGTATGACCAGGATCGGATTTCTGGTTAAAAATGAACCCTGATTTAAAGATAAAGTTCAATTTCTCCTTCTAAAAAAATTTAAATGTTTTAGCATTGGTTAAGATAATGTAAAAAAGTTTATCAGATTGTGTTCTCTTGGATTGATATTATGACATTCGACTAGGGGATGATTTGGGCTGAATACGTTAGATTAATGTAACGTAAAATACATCCCTCCAACCATATTTTTGAAAGCAATGGGATTTATAACTATAAGACGGGATTTTTATAAACAATTTCAAATCGGCATTTGATAAATTAAGTACTTGAGAAATGTACATGACTGAATTCAGCCAGATCTTTCTTTCATTAGTAATCATGATTCCTAGAGCGAGTAAAAGTTAATCGATATTTTGTCATTGAGCTTTTTTTCTTATTAGAGAAGGCTGTGTACTAGCCGATATGATGGCCACTTTGCACTTACAGCCACAGCAGTTTGACTAACTGAGAAAATGAATCATTTCGCAACTTCTTGATCTTGTTGGAATGTAGCGATCTGGAAGAGTTGAAACTTTATTTAGCAATCACACAAGAGAGTATCACTGCTGTATTGGTAAAGAGAGGGAAATACGTAAATCATCACGCGTTAATATCAACGTAAGCATATATATTGTCTACTTACAAGGCGACCAACTCGGTGTTGTTTTCGAAGACTCCATGTGGGAGCTCCTCTATCTGGTTGTCTTCCAAATCCCTGAATAGGGGATCAGTATCCTTGATTAAAGTCGAACGTTTCAAGCCTTTTCTTGTTGTTGTGTATTCCTCCCCCCCCCCCCCCCCTTTACCCACCCTGCCAAAAAAAAAGAAGAGCTGATATGCTCACAATTTCTCTGTAGAACAGGGCATGCGACGTGGAACAGACTGTAAATGTTTTCCTTTACATTCAATGCGGGTAACTGCGCGCATAATTCCATCTGCCGTGGTACACCGGCAGGGATCTGGACACCCTAGAAAAAGAAGATATGCTTTTAAGATCGTATCGTTGATGTAAGTTAGTGAATACCTGTAAGTCTCTTTTGTCGGAATTGCTGCAAGAGTGCATTTGACTCCTCTGAAAAAGCCTCAAGGTGTCTCATGAACACTCAATACTAAAGGGGGTTAGTTTCTAAAGAAACTGTGGCGCTGTGTCCTTCGCTCTAACGAAGGGCTAACGCTCGAGACGTCAGCTTTCAAACTCTTTACGGTGGCCAGTTTACGCTATCAACTCAGTTGATAATACTGAATTGCCCTGTAACAGTCAATAACAATCCAGTGTAAGGCAAGAGAATTTAGTGCTGGATCAACAAAAGTATTTTGTCAGCCTCTTAGGTGCGAAACCAGGTTAAAAAGCGTTATGATTTGTTAATTTTACCAGCAATGTATAGAAACTCTGCAATTTCCGATATATTTCCCTATTAGTCTGATTGGGTTAAGAATCATATTTTTGAAACTAAAACTCACTCTCGATGACAAGATGGATTCGTTTCTTGTCAAAACCATCCTGCGTGTTCACCTCACAGCTGTAATTGCCATTTTTTTCTCCAGTAATATTCAGCTGATATAGTACACTTGTACTGTTCTGTACCAGAATGCCGTTCTTTCTCCAAACAATGACTGGTGCCGGTGCACCCTGTGCTGGACACCACAGAGATGAGGAATGATTGAAAAGAACGAGCTGAGTCTCGACTACTTTATCAAGGTTGGGTTTGACTGGAAAAAAAAAAAAAAGAATTCTTAGCAATTACAAAAGCAGTTGAGTACAAGAAGCATTAGCTATGGCCATTTTCATTTCATCAGAAGTGTAAAACTCTCAAAATATGCACTGTATTTCAGTGGCTTATTAAAAATTCAGTTAGTCAATGCTTGCCTGTTGTATTAGCTGTTTTGTTACTGTATGAACCGCTGAAATTGTTATGCAACCACTCGTGATTGAATTTATCTGATTTTCTCAACCACAAGTTCTGTCCACTGGATCGCACAATACCAGAAATATTACTCCCACAAAATACACCAAGAAGATTGGAAGACTCGTTATGTCCATCGCGAACCTCAAGGTACATGTCATTAATGCATGGTGTTGGATATGAAGTCTTCAAGGTGAAATTCAGTTCCACGTAATGTCCTTTTGGAGCTTGCAAGAGCTGAGTTGAGTGAAACGATGGGACAACTCGTTGAAGGCGTACTTCCACTATTAGTGCAACTGCTTGTAAAACCAAGAGAAAATGAGAGTACACTTCACCAAAGCTATTGAAACAGAGCATCTTGAATGGATGCTTGTTTTCAGAGACGTTTAAGGAAACGCTAAACTTGAAAGAACGTTTTTATGAAAAGCTATATACGTTAGACAACGCGGAGACTGGTTATATGAAAACTACGTGGAATAGACATCACACTGGAAAGATATAATAATAGTACTGATGAGGAGCAAAAGAGGAACAATAGAGGAAACTGTATCATCAGTATCACACATTCCAAAGAATTAATGAAGCTTTAGACTTAACCCTTCCCGTGTATACATACATCTTGCTCTAGTATAGACCTCATGTGGTCTATATTAGAATTCCAAATGGTTTTGTAGAAGTTTAAGGTCAATATTTCAAGATTATTACATCTTATAGCGATTGAAAAATTGGCCAAGAAAGGATAACGTTCGTAACTTAAGCGGATTACTCGCTGATGCTTTGAAAACCTGACATGATCTGTAGATATTCGGAGATATCTAGACGGCACAGACGTCATTAACTTCCTTGTTTTGTATAGGTAATCACATGATTTCGGGTGCAATTTGGAATAAATAAGCACGAGTAAATTTTTCTATAGACTAACAAAATTGTACGAGCCCCTAGGGCTCGTGCAATTTTGTGGTCTTTGAAAAAATTAACAACTGCTTGTTTATCCCAAATTGCACGAGAAAAATCATGTGATTACGTGTTAATAACATACATGGAAAAATACGAGATGGCTTATCATAATTAAGCATAAGCAAAGCGCGCGCATCAAGAGCAAATTTTTTTCCAACTGTGCGTTCGGTCAAAACAACTGCGTACGATCAAAACAATAATATGCAATGATATCTTCACATCTTTAAGGCGCAAAAAATTTCAAAATCCTGCTAAACAGTTCAAGGAATTGTTCAGTCTGTGTCCGAATCACTTTCGATGGAATGGAATCGTCATTTCCGAGGTTTAACCATGTTTGTTTTTAGTTTCGGCGTTGTATCGCTCGAGCAAAGTGTTAAGCTAAGTCGGCTCGTAATTTTCGATTTCCCTTCCCCTCTCTAAACACCACTTTTTCCAAACCGACAACCAAAAGGCAGTGCTTCTTACAGTGTTTTCGTTGTTTGAGCTGTTTTTCAGATGTGGTGGCGAAAGAAAACCTATTGAAAAAGCCGGCCATTGTTTCGCTCGCAAATTATAAAATGTTCAAATTTTGTTGCGACATCCAAGGCTTGCATTTGATTGACTATCAATGAGTTTCTTTGATTATTGACCAATCAAAATGTCTGATTTGTTACTTTCTTTGCACTGGATTAACCCTCTTCTGCACTGAATTAACTCTCTTCGGCACTGAATTACCTAAAAACTGCATTTATCTTAACCAATCAGAACTGAGTAATTTTTCCATGTATATTATTAGAATTTTAAGTAATCAAATTTAATATGCCGATTTCAGCATCATGCATCGCGCAACGAACGAAAAAAAGAGTTGATAAAAAAAGATATCGCATGTCGATTGAAATTAACCAGCGCACGATAAATTTACACCGTTATTAAGATATTTTTTTCCGTTAGATATATAATTTATCTTTTCTTTGGGTTTTCGGTTTGCTATCAAACTTTGTCGGCTGAACTTTTCTAATCAAGCGCCGTTTGGACAGGTTTTTTCCGTAGGAAATGCAAATGTCATAATTACGCGAGAGTGCATTCAGTGCCGAACAACGAAAAGTAAAAGATTCTGAGCACCGTGGATAAGGTTGGTTTTTTTTTTCTTTTCTATTTTTTTTTTTTTATATAATTGAAGAGATGATCGTTTTGTAGTACAATGAAGTTGAAAATTGAACGAAGAACAGCAATAACGTTATTTGTTTTGTCGACCATATGTCCTGCATAAATTAAGTCACGAACATGGTTTGCAGCGAACGTAACCAATCGGACTCGAGGGAGAGGCGAAAATAAACTTCGGTGCCGTATTGTCTCATAATTTCCCAGGGAGCAGTAACTCTATTTTCGTACTTTCTTCTAGCAAAATTCCTCCACAGTGTGTCTCTCCCGTGCGCGTGTCACTTACTTTCTCCCGAGTTGATCTTATTCGGGCGAGAATATTTGAGGAAAACATAACGTACTCTCATAAGAACCATATTTTCAGTCTAAAAGTAGCTATTACCTATCTTTTGAAATAGGTTTAAATAAAATATTTAGTCACTTAAAATGACACTCTATGAAATAAAGACAACAGTGCTTACAGAAAGCAATAATGAAACCCCAGAAAGCCCTTCTGGACACCATCGTCCTGTTTTCAGCTGAGGGAAGTTTGAAGATTGAGTTGAGTTTAAATAATATACTCAAATAAAGTAAAATGATCGAGAATGCATTTAATTTATCCGGGAAAATCCCCTTGTATGTTCTCGGAATCTCATTACATACCTCAGATTCCAGGGCTGTTCAGAAAACCACAAGATCCATTTATATCACAATCATCATGACAAATACAATTTTTTTAGAAACAGCTATGTTTGACTGACACTTTCATTGAAACTTCTCTGAGCTACATTCTACACATTTGACAATAAGAACAATTTGAATTATCATAATATTATGAAATTACCCTTATGCCAGAAAAGAAGGGTTGTAAATAAATCATTTTTATGTTTACTTCTCTCCTACCTTTGCGATCACATTTTCCCCAATGACGCAGTTCTTAAGAAGGTTTTTTCTTCGGTTTTTCTTTCTTTTATTTCCGCTTCCGTTCCAGAAAGAACGTGTCGCCATAAACAGTTCACCGGATATAAAAACATGAAAATGTTGTTATTGTTGTAATCGCAGCGAAGAATGTCGAAATAAATATTAACAAGTAATATGGAAAATATCAAGAATCAGTGTAAAACTTCTATTCGTAATTCCCTTTTTAAGGCTGCGCAGTATTTGAAGGCAGAACTGAGTAACTATGAATTTTTCATCGGCTCTTGAAGAACGCTTATGTAGTTATTCATAATTGCGATGTTTACATATTGAGGTTGCAGAAATACCAAATTTTTCCTTTAGAGTCGAAAGATCTGCCCTTAACTGGATTCTTTTTCCGTCAAATTTAACTGACGTCTAATCTTATCTTTCCTTGTATCGAACTGTTTAGTAACAAAAATAAGTAAATACCTGAAATATATTTTTGCTGTTCCCTCACTTCGATTCAGATCGAATGCCTTAAAACAGCGATGAAGTCATATAAAGAAAGCCGGCTGCATACGGCTTTTTCAGATCATTATCTTAAACTAAAAATTATTATGGAAGAATTCTTAATTTCAAGTCATTATCGAAAAGTTCCTCAAACATCTGTGCCATAACGTCAGCAATTGTGCCTTCGGCCAGTTTTGCATTTTTATGAATATAATTGACATGGCACGAGTCACGAACAAACTACCGACCTTTAAAGAAACTCTTTAAGATAAGTCACTTTGCCAAGATAGAGGACTTATTCTCTTACATCTTCTCCATGTGAGTTTAAATGTCACATTTGACCTCACGGAGTAACGCTAGCATCGTTATCGGCAGATGTTACAGAACTTTCCAACATTCCAAAAACATACATTCACAGACATCTTTGAGATAATTTGTCCCCCTCCCCCATTCAACGTTGTCAATTGTCAATGTTTCTTTGCCATCTTATTATATCTCTTTGTTTGTGCGTGCGCTATGATTGTTCATTTTAGCGGGCCGTAATTAATTCTACGAAGAAACACGCTATACTCTGAAGATTTCAACCATTTGAAAAAACTATCGACGAAAGCGTTAACTACAGAACGTTGTATCAGAGTTCCTTGCAAAAAACCTTTGTCTACTTGAACCGTCACTCTCATGTTGAATCATGGATCTTAAACGAATATTTTGAACTTTTGACTGCTCAAAGTCCAGTTTTTATTGAAAGCCAATTAAATGTTCTCGTGCTTAGGATTTGACGTGCGTTCCACTTGAATTGAAATTATTTCCCCTTCTTTTAGAGCCAAGAGATGTACAGCAATAAACATCCTACGAACTATATTTTTCTCAGTCCGTACTGTAAGTTACGGAACCTCATTTTCTCCGCTCGATTTATGAATCACAACCAGGAAAAAAATCGTTCCGTAATTTACAGTTCGGCTATTGAAATCGGTTAGTAAGAAGTGTTTGCTGATCAACATTGAGAGAGGCAGGGGACGCAGATGGTATCCTAACAAATGTGTTGGGAGCGCTGCACAACGGAGGATATAGAGATAATCCTCATCCTGCTATTGTGCTTTTAAAACTTTTGTATAGCCTTTTAGTTATGCAACTAGTATTTCTGGTCAAGAGACGCCACACATCAGTTCGTCATTACATTTACAGACTTTCAAGTAAGAGACTGATATCTTTTTTAATAAATTCCCGCATAGATGTTGACATCCATTACGTAGATTTTATCCCAGTTGTGAGGAATCATCTGCGCGCCCTAGAAAAAAATCCAAATATGGATGATGAACGTTTTTGAGAAAATTGTGTCAATATATTTTTTTAGGTATGATTTAGCCGTAAAGATTATAGAATTTAGAAGTTTTCGATTTCTCAAATTTCTTTATTGTTTTCAATATTTGTTTGTATTTGCAGTATGTAACATCTTAATAAGAATTTATAATTATTTTTTTCATGAAGAATAAGTGGAGGATAATACGTGGGTGCACTTAGATATGGAATTTCTCTTCCAGTGTTCAACTCAATAGTTCAAAGGTAAGCGCAGAGAACAAGCGGGATATCAAGTTGAACACGAGTAGAGAAATTCTATATCTATGAGCAGCCATGTATTATTTGTTCATCATTCACAAGGGTGGCAGATTGCAAGAGCTGGAATGTGGCCAAGGTGGCGGCATTCGATAGGGGGGTTGGGTGGACAATGGAACGGTCCTATGCGCCTACTGGGCCAGCAAGCGATGATGATGGTAACGATGATGACTCACCTGTTGATAAGAGGAGGTCGTGACGGAAAAACCTCAAACTACCTGGCCATGTCGAGGTTTAGCGTTTTTCCCTTGACGATCGAACAGTCGAGGTCATTAAGTGGTTCGTTATAAGTCTTAAAAATTAAAGAA